TGCAAGGACTCCGCACTCTCCTTGGTCTCTAAAAAGTCCTTGAAATCTTTTGTGTCTAGCCTGAAGGACTGCATGGACAGTGGCTATGTGGAGGACAGTGATGAGAGCTCTCTTGACCTGGTGGGCCGCTTGGACCCAAAGGAGGAGAAGGTGTCCCACAGACATCGGCTGAGCAACAAGCTGTACAAGCTGTTCAAGAGCAAGAGCCAGTTGATCCTGGGCAGAGAGCTGAGGGATGTCTCTGAAGTAGCCTCACTGTCACTGCCATTGCGCCGGGCAGAGAGCCTTTGCAACCCCATGCCAAGGGACTGTGTCCCCAAACGCTCCCGACGAGCACAGTCTCTTCCACAACATGTACTGAGTGCCACGCTTCTCCAGAACCATGTACCTCAGAGTACCTGTGTCCAACGCAGGCCTTTCCTGAGCTGTGATGAGGATACAAAAATCTCGACTCTGCGTGTGGTTGTGTTTGGTTCTGACCGCATCTCAGGAAAAGTGGCACGAGCTTACAGCCATCTTAAGTGAGTGAAAAGATGGTCACTGGCTCCTGATACCTCCTTTCCCCTCCCTGTGCCTCAATATTAGGGAATTAGCTAACCGACATCTAGTTTCCTCAGCTTCCTGTTGCCTCTCGTTGGACCAGGGAATCAGTCCTTATCTGGTCATGTTATTGCCTGCTCCTTTCTCTTGTATATTTGGTTACCTTCTCACATCAATATGTTGGCAGAAATGGGAACTGTACATTATATTTGTCAAGCAGTAATATATCCTTCTTTTCCATCTCTTGAGAATACCTAGCTCAGAGGAAAGGCCTTGGTGCTAATTTGTGGTGGCTGAGGATGGCGCAGAGAGCCAGGCTTTTGCATATAACTGCTTCTGTCAGTGGGTTCCTCAGAGTAAGGTTTGCAGCCCTTCTGCTGTGCTGCCTGCTCCCACTTCATGGGAGAGCTGACTCTCCTTCTGTAGTAGCATGTCAGTTGTTGTAGGGCTCCAGATGGCTTTTCTTCATGGATTCCCTCTTGTCCTTCTACTGCAGATCTCAAGAAAGCAGCTGCCCCTGGCTGACTCGGTACTTCAGGCTGCAGTTTTACTATGTTCCTGTGAGGAGGAGTGGCCCTACCTCATCTATACTGACTCACCCTCCTCCTTCTCCAGGAGATCTTCATTCTCGCACCTCTGGGGCAACGGTATGCACTTGGGGCACAGTCAGAAAGTTTACTTATGGCTTCATTCTTCTTTCCCCTGTGGCCCACATTCTACAGCTTTAACTGTTTGTGGACTGAGCATGTTCATTTGCAGTTCTTGCTTGCAGTGTTATCTGAGAGAAGCTACCTGTGGGAATGTTCTTGGGCTATTCTCATCAGTAGAAAGAAGGAATGTTCCTTGTCTAATATAGGTCTGGCCCTGGGCTTTCTGCTCCACCAAATACATCTGACGAAGTAGGCTCAACTCATAGGCAGGCTGTTATTTGTATTTTGGGTTGCACCACTTTGTAAATTTCTGTGTAAAGCCTGTGGTGCTCTATAAATAAACGTAATAACAATAACAATAATAAGTCTACAAAAGCTCATGCTACCAACTTCTTTGAGTTAGTCTCAAAGGTGTTGCAAGATCCCTTTGCATATTGTCTAGTGAAGTGAAAGATGCAGCTGGATATTTCCATCAGGTGTGGGGAAAGTGTCCACTGTGGGCCATTTCAAACCTCTATGGCTATTTTTGAGGGCTGTAAAAATAAGGAACTGAAACACGTAGCCAAGCAGCAAATAGAAAGAAGACAAGCTCCACGTGCTCTAAGATGGTCAACTGTTTATTCAATGTTTATTCAGTGTTTTAAAAGCCCAATGCATTTTGGCCACACCAGGCCTTCTTCAGGGGCTGGGAACAAATATAAATACACTTAAAATATAGTATTTAAAAAGATAGGACAACACTCAGCAAACTATGATATACAACTAACATTATAGAGCTTATCAAAGTTATACATACCTTTGAGAGAAATAACTGGAGTTATAAGCACTCTCCAAATTACAGGACCATAGAGATAAAGGGACCAGACAGTGTAGCATTTCTGTATATATACATATTCCAGATGACCTTGGAAAACACTGAAAAAACACTTTATAAACAGTTGACCATCTTAGAGTACATGGAGCTTATCTCCTTTCTATTTTTGAGGGCACTCAAATTTTCTTTGAGACAATGCAATATTCCCTACACCAGGGGTAGGCAACCTTTCCCCTTTAAGGGCCGAGGGACTTCAGCTCCCAGAATCCCAGGAGCTATTGGCCAACATGGGACTATTGGCCAACATGGATGAGGCTTCTGGGAGCTGAAGTCCCATGGCCCTTAAAGGGGAAAGGTTACCTACCCCTGCCCTACACCCTCTAGGAAGCACAGGGGTATTTTCACTATGCTGTCCAGGCTGTTTTAGGTCTGTAAGATGTCTTTTAAAAAAAGTAATTAAACCAAATTTGGTTTACTTCCTATTTTTTTAAAAAAAAATTACAGACCTGCTTAAAAAAAATCCCACTCCCCAACTTAAAATAACCTTGGAAGGGACACCAAACTGTATGAAATTGTCCCCCATAACCCCTAGAAGCTCAGGGAATATTTCGAATTTTAAAAAGTGTCAAAACTTTGGGAGGTGGAATAGGAGTCTGCACATGGTGGGGTGCAGTTCTTTGAGGTCCAGCAAGAAGTATGAACAGATGTTGGACCTTATTGGGGTTGATGCTTACCTGAAGAACACGTCATCGACTGTGCCCTTCTGTTGGCAGCAGAGCAAAAGTGAGAGGACCCAGCATAGGCTGGTTAGGACTGTTGACTACTTCTCCAGAGCATGCCTATTTTTCTGCACCTACTGCTTTGGGATGAAAAGGAGAGTGAAGTAAGCTTTATTGGTTTGTGTTGTCAGCAAAGCAGTTTCACATGTAGTCACTTCACTGAGAATATGTTGCAGCTCCTTGGTAAGCAAATCACCTTTGCAGTCCTGTATTCTGTAACTTTCACAGCTGCATTCTGGGATGGATCATGAATATTCCCATGGTATACATGGGAATTAAGATTTGCTTGCACTATGCAAAAGCCTTAGATGCCTGAGAGCTTGCAACTCTTGATGGTTCATGTGTGTAAACTTCCTGCTCTCCATTGAATTAAGCTATGTTTTTTTTCTGGGGTTTGTATGTGTCAGCCCTAAAATAAACTTTAGTACATTCTAGGAATGGCAAGAATAGTATTTTCTGTTTCCCTCCTCAGATTAATACAGCGGACTTCCCAATACTTGGGAAGTACTAGTGAGAGAGACAGAGTAGCAGTGGAGTTGTTTGCAGTTGATGAAGTCTTTTAAGGAATTATTTTGTACAGAAATGCACAAAAAGTATGGATTTCTGCACAGTATATGTGTGTGTGTGCGTGCACACGCATACACACACACATATATGACCAAAATGACTTCCTAAAAGATCTTACAAGGTGAAATGTGCAGAAATCTATTTTCTGCTGCAGCTGGGAGAAACATACAGAAATACTCACTTTTGCATGTGAGGACAAGAAACACAAGTATTTCCAACCCTATTGCATTCTCAGGAGAGCCAACATTTCCATGTGGATCTCCTTAAGCCAGTCTTCCCAGCCTGGTACCTTCCAGATGTGTAGGATTGTCCTTTAGCCATCGTAGGAGCTGGCTATGGGATTATGAGAGCTGTACTCTAGCGTCTGGAAAGTGTGGGTGTAAAATGAATATTTTCCTTAATGATAATGAAGGTATAGTGAAAGTGTCGTGCAAACACTTTCAAGCAAGGAAAGCACCTACATTGCTCTATAATCTGAAATATTTGAGGATTAGTGGCATACACATAAGGTGCATGTCAGTTTAAATGTATTTTTAGAATAGTGAAGATCCCTCAAAATGTAAGATTTGATGGTTCAAAGCTTCAGTGCTCACACCAAAGAATAGGATAAAATATCTACAAAATAAAACTAAGGAGAACCAACAGTGTATGGCCCTTGGTTGGAAATCACAAGAGATGGCCAAGAACCTGCAGGCAACAGCCATTATGCCTTGGACAGTGATTCTTATCTATTCCTAACTCCATCTTCAGTAACAAAGATGATTTCTGCAATTATGCCAAAATCAAGATGAGGGTTGGATATTGCTATTCTTCAAAGCTAGCTATTCCAGCAAAGATGGTCCTCCTCCTTGTAGTCATGAGTTTTTATTTTCTCTTGACTGTCTTCATTTCTTCTGAAAAACATCCTAAAATGTCCACACCACTTGTTATGCTATGTGGTTCTAATCTTAGCTCCAATTAGTTGCACTGTCAGCCAATACTCTGTTATTTTGGTTCCTTATTTGAGCCTAGCGTAACTCGAGTAAACAGGCCATTGCCCTCATCCTCCCATTTAATATAGAAACAGAGCTTTAATAGCAGTGGGTTCATTCAGCATTTATCTTCATTTGCAATGGCTCTGCACTTATGTTCAGTGGTGAGAAACATTAGTATTTTTCGTAAGCTCATGTCAATGTTACACCATAACTCCTAATGCCCTATGTGACTCTTGATGCCTATCCTTTCAGTAAAAGATAGGTTAAAAATTAAACAGGAAGGAAATCAGCCCTAGATGCTAGGAGTAATGTGGCCACTCTGCTGCTAAGGGTTGATGAGTTCTGTCCTTGGTCATCAGCAAATCTCTTGGTGTGTGTTTCTTTGATTTCAGGTTCTTAGTTTGGCAGGGATGGAAAGCAGCACAAATGATATCTCCCTGTACATAGGTATGCTGGATCCATGGTACGAACGGAACGTTCTTGGGCTAATGAACCTTCCAACAGATGTTCTGTGTCAGGTAAAGATCCAGACTATATATTCTATAAAGCAGCTTGTTGTTGTTGCTGTGTGCCTTCAAGTTGTTACTGACTTATGGCAACCCTAAGACACACCTATCATGGGGTTTTCTGGGACTGAGATTGTGTGACATGCCCAAAATCACCCAGTGGGTTTCCATAACTGAGAAGGGACTCAAACCCTGGTCTCCAGAGTCATAGTCCAACACTCAAACCACTACACCACACTGGCTCCCTCTAAAGCAGCACAGATCTATTTTTGCAAAGTACCACTGCAAAGTACCACTGCAGTCTCCTAAATATTTCATCCTATCGTATATTCCTGTCTCCCTCCACTATTTGACCTGTGACAAAGGAATGTAGAGGCAGTGTTGTTGTTGTTTGCCTTCAAGTTGTTTCTGACTTATGGCAACCCTAAGACGGATCTGTCATGTGGTTTTCTTGGGAATATTTATTAGTTCAGAGGGAGTTTTTCTGCCTTCCTCTGGGGCTGAGAATTGCACAGGGTCACTCAGTGGGTTTCCATGGCCAAGCAGGGATTCTAACCCTGGTTTCCAGAGTCATAGTCTAATGCTCAAACCACAATTTGTTTGTTGTTAACTGCTTTCACATCAATCTCGACTCATGGCGTCCCTGCTAATGAGACATCCTCCACTGCTCTGCCCAACTCCTGCAAACTCGTGATCTCTTTAATAGAGTGCATCCATCTAGTATGTGACCTTCTTCTCTTTCTACTTCCCTCCACCTTTCCCAGCATTGTTTTTCCTAATGATTTATGTCTTCTCATGATGTGTCCAAAGTACGCCAACCTAAGTTTAGTCATCCTGGCTTCCAGGGAGGTTTCTGGCTTGATCTGTTCTAGGACCCATTTGTTTATCTTTTTGGCCATCCATGGGATCTTCTCCAGCACCACATCTCATATGAATTGATTTTCTTCCTATCTTCTTTTTTAACTGTCCAGCTTTCACATCCATACATTGTAATGGGAAGTACAGTAGCTTGTACAATTCTGGCTTTTGTGCTGAGTCATATGTCTTTTCATTTTAGGATCTTTTCTAGTTCTTTTATAGCTGCCCTCCCCATTC